AGTTCCCCAACCTCCTAAAGGGTTGAACTCCACTCAGTTCTACTATAAGTTTCCCCCACCACTTCTTTAAAGATGTTCAAAGTTGAAAGTGCCAGAAAATACTCTTTATGACCACCTCTGCCTCTACAGAGAAGGTCCAAAGACTGGTACAATCAGGAGGTCTAAAAGCACGAGGGAGAAGGTTGCAGGGTGTTCGGGGGTGCCCGCATGGCTACCTTTCTAGCACAAAAGATGGCGGCTGAAAATTGCACACAGCCAACACACTGGTGAAAATTGCACCAGCAGGGGAGGGCTTGGCCGAGAAGACCCTCCGGTGCTAAAGATGGAGGGAACACTGCTGGGAGGGCCATTTGATTATCTTTAATAATTCTCGAATGACAGGGGTTTTGCTCATAAAGTCCTTGCCTACATCTCTTCATGTGTTTTTCCTATTCTATCTTCCAGCAGATTTAGCATTTCTATTGTAGTATTTAGATTTTTGATCCATTTCAACTTTAATTTAGTGCACAGTGAGAGACATGGGTCTAGTTTTAATCTTCATGATATGCAAAGCAAATTTCTCCAGCACCATTTATTAAAGAGGCTATCTTTCTTCCAGTGAAATTGTCTGGCCCCTTTGTCAAACACAAGGTGGTGCATTATAATTTTTTGAGCATTTTACGACTAGACATATTTTTGAAGACCTCAATTTCCTGTTGCAAAGTTCTGATTAATCTTCTTTTGATATATTCCCTAGAATAACTTTCATATTTTAATTAATTTAAATCTTGTCTAAATAAAAAATTACCATCAGAAGGAACTATTTACCTAGATTGCCACTGAAATCTTCATTTTCAAATGAGAAAATTTTCTTTCTGTTATAGGGATCTCTTTAGACCACAGAAGTATACTTCTTAGTTCATAGAGATGTTAACATATATGTACTTTTCTTACTGTGGCAGTTTTAGTATAGAAGATAATTCATATTTTATGGAAATTAGAATTTGTAAGAGAATTTCCTCATAAGACTCAATATTCCTTTATCCTTTGTCACAAGTTATATTTTAAAACATCTACAGAACGATGACATAAATTGATTAGAGGCAACATATTTCTCCCATGCGTAGGTCATTGATAGCATGAACAATACTTCAGTTAAATCCAGAAATGGTACCTCTATTGTCACATTGTGAGATTTACCAAGCACACTTTGTGTCTTAATGTTCACAAGTATAATTGTTTATTAATTTCTCAAACAAAATTGTTTTGCAATTGATCTTTGCAGAAATTGCAAATTATACCAAGGCTTGAGGAAGATAAAAGAGCCTTACGCAGGTCTTTTTTTGTTTTTTTTCTTGTCCAAGACATGCAAAATGAAAATACTCATTGCATGTATCATGGATGACATGAACATTTTCTGCCTCTCCATTTTTATTTAGAGTTTAAGCAAGAATAAATCATCAAATAATTGGCTTATAATACATCATAACTTCTACTGATCTTTTATGATCAAACACATAGACTTTTTTCAAGATGAAGAACCAAGGTTAGTAAAAGAATGCCATGGAAGGGAGCTATTATCTTTTTAATAATATCAATTGTAGTTCTTTTTACTATGGGGTATATGATTTCAACTCACATAAGTAGTAATTATCTGTTAATCTTGGATCCTTATTCTTAACACTGGACAGAAAGTTTCCCATTTCTTACCTCTTTTACTGAACATAGCAGTTTTAAAGTCAGAGGCAACACACTGGTGAAAATTCTACATAAGACAAAGGACACGATATACAGAAAGCTAATATTGAAGATACAAAAGGCATAATGTTAATTTAATACATAATAAATTCAATGCCTATGTAGTCTCTTTCATCTTTCTATCTTACAAGATGTCGTTTGCTGTCTCATGTTCTCAGAAATATTTCATACCTGTGTTAGTACAGTTTATAGTTTTATGTTTGAAGAGTCTCTATTATGAGCAGTTTGAAGACAATAAGTATCTTGCTTATTTAATATTATTAAATCTACCTATATAAGTATAGAATGAAGTTGCTATTATATGTAAGTTTCTTTTATGTATAAATATATACTTGTATATGATTATTTTTTAAATATAGAGACATACATATTTATAAAATAGAGAATATTCCAAGGCATGTGATTGACTTACAGTTTAAAACCATAGAGGAAAGCAAAAGAGTGTTGGAAAATAAGATGCCTGAACCATAAATCTCTCTGAAAAGAATGATTTAACATCCATGGACAAAAGCAATCATGTGTTGGAAACAGCTCATATGCCCATCAGTTGGAAACTGTACAAAGAAGATGTGGTTTTTCTACAAAATGGAATACTACTCAGCCATAAAGAATGAGAAATTAGCTTCATTCATAGGAAAATCGATACATATTGAGGATATACTCCTAAGTGAAATAAATGAGTCACACATGTGTAAATACCAAATAGTTTCTTGGGTGTGAAAAACTATAATAGTACATAAGATCCTAATGAGATAATTGACAATGTGGAATAGGAAGAAAAGGGCAACAGTGTGGGGAAAGTGTGAAGGTAGGGGAAAGGTAATAAGGGAAAAACATGAGAAAATGAAAAAAATGGAAATAAAATGTTTGTAAATGGTGAGGGGAGGAGAGGTTGAAGAGGTGGGCAGAACAAGGGTAAAAAATGAGAACCAAGACCTGTCATGTAAAGGTACAAGATCCCAATAATGAGTGTAGCTGTACTATATAGCTAAAATGTACCAATAAACTCAATATTTTTTAAAAGCAATCTTGTGGGAGCTTTGCCATCTTCCAACACAAAGTTGTGAAGCCAACACAGAGTCCAAAAGCAAGAAGGACTGCTTTGAGAAAGTATCTGTTCCACTGGGATTTTTATTTGCTGATCTTTGATGAATCTCTGGGAGAAGCATTGGGGATCACTAGTCAGTTTTATTCTCACTGGATGAGAAGTAGAAATACATTATGTCCTGTGTCATGTTAGTACTTTGAGACAGGCTACAGAGCCAGTCTTCTTAGGAGTTCTCAGAAATTCTGGGGCATTGAAAGTGCAAGGTACTTCTTGCCTAGTTTAAGTAGAGATGTGGTGTAGGGTCTTCAACTCCTATCACCACACTGAGTTGAGGAGATTTGGCTATGCTGCATGATAGGCTAAATTGCTGTATGTATTTTAAGTGTCACCTGCTAATCAGGGTATCCTGTCCTGTAACACTCAGTGTAATGAAAACAGGGGATAGAAGCTCCATATTCTGAATAACCTATGAAAAAGATGGGGAACTGGATGCATGGTGTACCTCAGTCTTTTCCTATGCAAAATTTCTGTCCCAATTTTATGGTGTTATGAAAGGAATAAGGGCCATGGTAAGAGGGCAACTCATGTGTTCCTACCTGATTCAGTGTAACTGATTTCATGCTAGACCAGACTCCATGAGTACCAACACAAGTTTGGTGAATTCTCACAAGTGAAATCTGTCCACGAATATTGTTGAATTTCTTTGCTCATGGGGGAAGGGTCATGTAGGATCTCCTGTTTTACTGCCTGGATGACTGAAAAATGAGAGTTTATTTGTGGGTCTTCCCTGGGGTATATATAGTCCCTATAGAAAACAGAAAGAGAGAGCACAATAATAAATCTGAAATGAACCACAGACATATTATGCTTCAAGCTGTAAATACAATTACTTATTTCCTATTACATCTAGACTCCATTCTCTAGAGATAACACTGAACAACCTTGTTTCTTGATTAAAGCAAGTACATTGCAACTTAACATTTACATTAAATCTGTGTCTCACAAAAGGGTGAAAGTATTAATCATAACTGTTTTCTCTGTGGCTTTAGAGATTTAATGTAATAGTAATAAATTATTATCTGTAGTTTTCTGAAAGGTCTCCAGAACATACTGAAAATAAAGTGCAAAAATTGATCTTTTAAGCCTCAAGAGGTAAGTAAGCAATAAAGAAGAACCAAGGTGTTGTGGCCTAATAAATTTGAGTTTCTAAATTCTACTTGTTAGAAATGTCTTCCAAGGGCTGGGGATTTAGCTCAGTGGTTCAGTGGCCTGTATTGCAAGTGCAAGGACCCAAGTTCAATCCCAGGTACCAAAAAAAGAAATGTCTTCCTTTGAGATTAAAGTTCAGGGATCTATGATGTTGCTCTCTTCCACAGGTGGCAAACCTATGGCATGAGTGTTATTTGTTATTCTTTTAAATGTGTGAATTATTTTTTCTAATGTAAAACCTTGGTGTTCTGGATTAATTTGCAGTATTGGCACTTTGCAATAAATAAATGTGTTTTGGTTTGTAGTTTGGGCACTTGTCTGTCTCTGAAAGGTTTGCCAACACTGCTCTATACTTTCTATACTGTGAATTCCTGAGACTCAAGTGAAAGAGGTGACAGAGAGTTGAGAGAACTTAGGGAGCCCAGGAATGTGTTATCTCTGTCAATAGTTTCCTCATTGTAGATGGAACTCTCACTCTTCTGTATTCATTGATAACTCTCTGGGAATAGGAAGTGATTAATCCATTCCTGGATACTAGTTCTTTCATTTTCTCTTAGAAACAATGATTTAGCTATCACCCACCCTGTCTAATTTGTTTTACAGTCAATCACCAGGTTGTGAACACCTCTGCCTCCAATTTTATTGGTAAGATTAAGGCTCAGATGAAGAAAGAAATGATAAAATGAGAGAAAGATTATTGTCCCTTGCTACATCTGTCTTCTTCCTTATCGCTTGGTTTTCCAACTGTCATGTTTTCATTTGTCAGCACAGGCATCCCATGTGGGTAGATTTGGGGATGTGCTTCACAATACACCCTATGTTACATATCTATTGAGGAATTAATCTCTCATCAAAGTAGGAGTAAAAGCAGATTCTGTGGACCCAGGTGGGGGTAGTCTCAGTTATACTGGTGATATCCCATGTTATTGAAATATGTTAGGAAAAGAGCTGTGTGTCCTTTAACACTAAGACTTTTTCCTGTGTCTACCATTTCTCTCACAGAAGAATGGAATCTGGGAACAGCTCTTCTGTGACTGAATTTATTCTTGTGGGATTAACAGACCAGCCGGATCTCCAACTCCCCCTGTTCTTCCTGTTTCTAGTAATGTATTTGGCAACTTTGTTGGGAAATTTGGGCTTAATAACTCTAATTGGATTAAATTCACACCTTCATACTCCCATGTACTTTTTCCTGTGTAATTTATCCTTCATTGACCTCTGCTACTCTTCTGTGTTTTCACCCAAAATGTTGGTGAACTTCATATCTAACAATGTTATCTCATATAGAGGATGTATGACCCAGCTGTACTTTTTCAGTTTTTTTTCCATTGCTGAATGCTATGTACTGACATCAATGGCTTATGATCGCTATGTAGCCATCTGTAATCCACTGTTGTATAACAGTACCATGTCCCCTAGAATGTGCTCCAACCTAATGCTTGGTTCATACCTAATGGCATTTTCTGGTGCCATGGCCCACACTGGATGCATGCTGAGACTGACCTTCTGTGATGCCAACACCATCAACCACTATTTCTGTGACATTCTACCCGTGATGCAGCTCTCCTGCAGCAGCACCTATGTCAACGAATTGGAGGTTTTCATTGTGGTGGGGATCAACGTCTTTGTGCCCTGTCTCACCATCTTCATCTCGTATGGTTTTATCCTCTACAGCATCTTCCACATCAGCTCCACTGAGGGCAGGTCCAAAGCCTTCAGCACCTGCAGTTCCCACATAATTGCTGTTTCTCTCTTCTTTGGATCAGGTGCATTCATGTATCTGAAGCCATCCTCTGCAGAATCTATGGATGAAGGAAAAATCTCTTCTGTGTTTTATACCAACACAGTTCCTTTACTGAACCCTTTAATATACAGTTTGAGGAACAGTGATGTTAAACTTGCCCTGAGAAAAATCCTGAGCAGGAGAAAGTTTTAATCAGAAATATTAGCTTTCTCTGTGTGTCAAAAACAAGGAAGTTAAGCACATGTAATTCAATACTTCTGGCCCATTTTTCTTTTACTGTGTTAAGAAAAATTAGAGTCCTTTTAAAATAACCTGTTATTACTTTTTACAGAGTATCTTTTCCATTCCTCACCACACTCAAAGTTTCTTCCCTATCCTTTTTATTCCCCATATATTAGTAAATTTAGGGAATAAATTTAGAAAATTTTTTAAATTTTCAATTCAATTTTACTTTTCCCTCTGGAAAAAGATCCATAATTTCATAGTAATCAATTGAAATAATACTAGATTGACATCTTGTCATTGCATGTTGGATTTACTTAACATTTACCCCTTCAATCATGTTTTTTTTTCACATATTAACAGCCTCCACTGTGTAAAGATATCTCTTTTAAATTCCAGAAGACAGAAGGCCTATAAAGTCTCTAAATTATATCTACTTTATATGTATAAACCCTATGTATTAAATTCCTCTTAACACATAATTTTTTTTATTACTCTGTAAAATAAAGACAAACTGTAAGAGAGTATCAGTACATATTTATTGTATGGGTGGGGAAATAATGATCAGAGTTGTTATAAATCTACTTAAAGTCACACAGCTTCCATAATTTCCTTTTTGTTTGCTTGTTTTTGTTTTTGTTGTGGTCTTAGCATTGAACTCAGGGACTTAGCACTGAGTTAATTGCTCAGACATTTATTTTTTATAAAATTTTGACATTGGGTCTTGCTGCTGGACTCCAGTAACTCTCTTATGTTAGCCTCCCAAAGAACTGGTATTATGGTATGAGCTCTCACACCCAATAGTCATGTAGCTTCTTAAAGAAAAACAAGACTAAATTCAGGCTTCAGATTTCAAGTCTACCATTTTGTCTAGATTCTGTTCTATTTCTATTTCATTCTCTTATTTATGTTCCACTTTTGCCTTTCTTTCAGTAAACACTGAACATTAGCTTCCAATTATCATTTTCAGGTTAACTGTATTTTATTCTGAAAATAAACTTAAAATTTATTTTAGAATAGGTAGTGACTTTTGATTTCATTGTTTGTTCAGAAAATCAGTTCGATGAGTCTTTTTTCCCTGGAAGCAAGAGGTTTTTCAGACCAATATCTATTTCATCACCATCTGAGTGTCACAGACAGGTGAGTAAACCTGCTTCATTATCTTTCATTTCATGATCATCAGTGTGAATGAAAACAGTTTTATTTTCAGAGAAACAAAGTAAGACTAAAGCTTTCATATTATTTTCAATTTAAAGTATGTAATATTTAAGAGATGTCAAGTAATAAAAAGAGCATTATCTGATAGCTTTTTGTTTAGCACTGTGAGCATTATGTATCTGTTTGGGTTTTATGCTACTGGAGGGGAATCAAAGAAGGTGTTTTACTTACACAGCATGGCACAATTCTCAATTTTTAATTTCTGCAAGCTCATTCAGGAATATGATTCATACTTCCATCTCCCCAGTGACATGGCTGAGCAAGGTTTTACTAAGTCCAGCAGGAAGAAATAGTTATTACTGTAGTCACTGGTTCTTTACATGATGGAAGACACACACACAGAAATACAGACATACACTAAATATTTGGGATAATAATTTATGGTAATGCACTCTATGTCACAAACAAAATTACAATAAGATCATAAAAGTTATAAATGTAGGTAGCATCCTAAATGTGGATAGATTGTAAACCCATTCTTACATATACAAAATTATTCTTAAAAATTGATTATGTTAGCATAATGTTCATGTTAACAGCAATAATTTTCCTTAAGTCTGACACAGTATGTTATTTTCTTTGGCAATGGGGTATTTCACTATTAATTAAGTGAAGAATAGATATAGTGCTTTACGTGCAGTGTTAAGTTGTACAAAATAAGTAGTATTAAGCATGAAAGTGTCAGTCATTGTCATGAAGTACTACTTCTGAGGCACCGCCTCCAACATCCTCAGGGAATAGGAATCTAGTGGAATCTTTTGTACTGTTTCAAGTCTCCCTCTGACAAGAAATTCGATTAATCCAATATATAGAAGCATGTAGGTGCTGTGATTACTAAGAGGCAGGAAGCTGTGCTCACAGAGTCTCCTGCATGGTCCCATCTGTCAGTCTCTGTCTTCCTAAGTTAAAAACTAGAGCATCAGTGGGGCAGAGGATATTAGATCCTATTTCATAGATGATGGACCTGATAGGGATGTTCAAGGGTTGTTCCAAATCACCATTTACAAAGACGGCCCTAGGACCTGATCTTTTAAACCTGTAAATTTTAAACATGATTTTACTGATTGCATTTTTTTAAATAAGTGAAACAGCTCCTTCCCTTCCCTTTCTCCATCTCCCTGAATGTTTCCCCCATCCATTTGAAGAGCTCTCTGCTTTTGCTGTTTATCCTTTATTTTGTTTTTTATTTATACATGTATATGTATACATATATTGAGTTTAACAAAATTTATTGGGCTTTTTGTTTTGTTTTGTTTTTTGTTTGTTTATTTTTGGTACTGGGGATCCAACTTGGGTCCTTGCACATGCAGTCAGGCTCTGGAACCACTGAGCTAAATCCCCAGCCTTGGATATTTTCATAAAGACATTCATCTCAGTCTTTTCTTTCCTCATCTTGACCTTAGAGTAGGATTTCATTTGGGTCAAGAAAAAGAGTATGTAGGAGAGGGATGTTATTTTAATAAACAGTAAAATGAACAAAAATGAATAGTTTACCTAAATGAAAATTAAGGTTAAATTCATGTATCTTAATATAATTAGTGTAAGAACTAATAGTTTTATATACACTTCCATTGTTTTACTTAGGGCTTAATCTAAACTTTAATGTAAAAGAACAACTTATTAGGCATAGGTGCAGGTTTCTTCTCTGGAGTTACTACCCATGTACCGATATCAAAATATAGCAGCAAGTGATTACTACCAATAAAATAGTTTAAAGCTGCCTCCAAGTTTAACATTTCAGGAATTCTAAAGGACATCATTTTATCATTTTTCTTTTGTCTGTGACTATGCTTTCAAAGATGTGTTTAACTGTCACATTTTTAAAAGTCCATTTACAATACAAAAATGTACAAAAAACACCCTACAGTGCACCAATCTAACAGTATATATGATGAAGAACTCCATAAAATGTGTTTGAAGATACAGTTTCTTTCATTTCAGTACCTACAATATGCATTTGAGAGGCCACTGGTCAGTGAGTAGACACAAAATAAATCATGTAATTGTTCTAATAAGAAAACCTGTAGTGAGTTCAATTCAAATTGGATTTTACAACTTAGTGATGTAAATGTGTAGACAAATTTACAGCAAATGCATCTTACTGTTTTCCATTTTCTACAATGTTAATTTTTTTTGGTGTTTATACCTTTAAAAAATAAAAACCAGCCAAATACATAAACAGTATGTACATTTAAATTTTTCATGGTGGTTTGTATTTTAAAAGAAATAGCTTCCTTATGATTTGCCTTAAGTTCTGATGGAAATGCTTACAAGGACCTAGCTATAAACAAACAAAAACCAAGTGAATACATTCAAAACACTGATTTACTTTTGTAGCAAATGGGCTGTTCTTTGAAGACTACTTTAGGTAGACAAGATGATTAAAGTGAAATGGGCTATTTCAAACAATCAACCCTTCATGTAGAAATTTTTTTAAAAGTTACTTTTTGTAGAAGAACTAAGAATCTGTATCCACTGATAGCAATGTGATACCTAATAATATGATAACAAAACAAATGCACATAAGAAAAAATATTTTATTTTTATCTAAATTTACTTTTAGTTAATAGTCCAGCAACATCTTCCTTTCAATAACAACTCTCCCCCTTTCTCTATAAGGCTGTTCCTGGGAGCCAGATAGTTTAGGTAATAAGGGCGTTAATTTAGGAGTAACTGCTTACAGTTTTAAATAGACATAATTTTTTGCTTCTCTCTTAGTGTGCTATTAGTTGGTTCTAAAAATATATGCAATTCTTAAAAAGGTACTATTTCTGATTTATTATTTGTAGCCTTGGGAAACTAATCACATGGAACTGTAAAGTTAGCAAATGTCTTGACATCTGTATATAAAATTAAATTATGTCTAATTTCAAACTCTTGCTTATTAGTGTACCACTCAATCTTAAAAAAAAGAAAAAGCAAAACAAACACACAGCTCCAAAGATAGTCTTATACCATTCTTTTAAAAAGGAAACTGTTTCTTTTAACTTTACAACCAACCACCTCACATCCCAATTCAAAACACATCACTTAATTGCCTTGTCTTGGGCATTTCCAAGATGAGATTTTATATTTCATTCCCATAGCTTCTGGTCATCAGAAAACACAGGCAGGCTTTCCTTTATTGAAAGAGTGGTCTCGCTGATGTTGGTGTACCCCTACCAATATTCTTCATATTCACCTTTGCTTCTGGAAGTATTTCCTCTGGTTAACTATCTTCATCTGCATTTAAAGCTACTGCCACTGAAATGATTTTGGAGCAAGAGTTGGAACAGTTTCTTTAGGCTTACTTGATCCAAGTTTGATGGTTATAGCTGATACTTTCTTTGTTGTCTGACCACCTATGTCAAATCCAAACTTGGAGATCTTTGTAGGCTTTGTTGGAAGGTGTGCAGCTTCTTCAGGTGATAGCTTCTCAGCACTGCAACTGAAAGACTGGAACTTTCCCCTCCATTACTGGAAGAAACAGTTTTACTTTTCACATGTTTTTCTGCTTCTTCTTCAGATCCTCTGGTGGCTCCAGCTCACTTCAATTTCTCAGGCTTCTCCTCTACCATATTTCCACCTGCCATTGTCCAAGCTGAGACCTCTACATACATCTATTTGAGTTGCTCATATAAGAGAGACCATGTGATACTTAAGCTTGCATTGGTTGACCTATTTCACTTAATATTCTGATCTCAAAGTACATTCATTTATCTATGAATACCTCGTTTATCTCATTTTATGACACAGTAGTACTCCATTATGAA